AACCTTATATTCCATATCTGATGGTCAACTGGCTTCATAGTAGGAATCATAAGATCGATTAGAAATCCTTCATTATTCCTGCGGCCCCTGCAGTAAATCCAAAGATTAAAAGTTCAAATCACGAAGCAAGAAGTTGGTAAATAAAGTAAAAATGGTAGTTAAACCTAGAGAAACGTCGCAGATTTAGAAACCCAAATGCACACAAAAGTCTAAAAGCAAAATCGAGGAAGGATACAAAAAGCAAAGCGAATCAAGCAAAGAAAAAACGATGATTGAGCAGCTAGAAAAAAGGCTCAAGAATATCGAGAAAAGACATCATTAACTAAACATAAAGAGTAGATCAAAGAAAATAATAGAAAATGCTGGATATACCTCAGTATTGTTTTATTTAAAAAATAAAAAATAAATATAGAGCAGTGCTCTGCAGATCGGAGAGATGAGTTGAAAAATTATATGAAGAAGAAAGTATGGATGATGGTACTTACACTCTATAATTGAGTGGAAATGAGCTTGCACTTGCCTGTGATTCTCAAGATGAAGAAATGGAGGACAGAGATGGGAAATATGAGATCATTCCCAAACTTCTTCATTGCTTTCTTTCTAAACTCCTCTGTTTTCTTTTGATTGTATTTTTTGGGGAATTGGGGTCCACCGCAATTGTGTAGGCATAGCCCCCCACATGCGTCTTTGGATTCGAATTTTGCATCTTCATACTCCGTATTCATTTCATTATTCATATCATACCAGCAGAGATGTACTTTTAGACCTACAACCGTAGATTCAGCATTTGAGGGATCTTTGATATTGGTTCTAAGAATAGAGTTTGATGTTAGAAGACTTGGTATTACGGAGTAATTAGAAAAATTGGAAAGAGTTAGAATATGTTGGAAATATTAAAAAGAGTCAGAAATAGTTGGTGAAAAGTAAAGTGTTAAAAATATATTCCATTAAATAATCACCCAAATATATAACACCATGACCTGTATAATTCGAACACATGTGTCAGTCAATCGGATTGCCACCAAATTCATATCCAAACACATAATATTTTCAAAATTTTCAAAACATCGATTCCAACTTAAATAAAGACATCCTTCGAAGTGATTTAAAAGAATGCAAAAGCTCAAATCAATATTCGAAATATAACTTGGGAATCAAGCCCATAAAAGAAATATGTCAATTTTCAAATAAATAGAAACTCTAAATCAACAATTACTACCATACACATTTATTTCCCCGTCCTCATTGCCTCCGGGATAGGACGTCCAGATTCATCTTGACCCTGATTACCTGCGTGTAGCAAAACAAATCCACTACACACTCAACAATGACGCTGAGTAAGAAATATCAAACATTCGATTATACATATAAATGAACTCACTAGTTCATCCAAAAGATCGTATGATATCATACACATAAGCACAACACAACAACATCACAACATTTCATAATGGTATTCAACATTACCAAATATAAGTATATCAATGTTATTGCGTTAGTCTCTTGACTTATATCCTTTCAGTCTCATAACTTATTCTAGGTTAAGGCTTATTCATAACTTTTTTATGGAGTCGTGATCTTCCCATTCAGAATGAATGTCAAGCTCAAACCAACTTCGAATTTCCACATTGGGTGGGTGAGATCCATGTCCCCTTCGGAGCGACAGTTCATAGATCCCCATTTGTTTGGATTACGCGGGTTGCGGTGTTACATGCTCCCCTTATTGGCTCATAGGTTGTTATTCGGGTCAGAGTCTGTCTAGCCAATTAGACACGTACGTTGGGCTCGTTACAATAATAATCTTCTCGATATAATAATCTTCTCGATACATTGAGCTCGTTCATTCAATTTTGAAATGTTTTTGACCTTTCCCAACTCCTAAATTTCTTTCACGATACCTTTGCACCTCTGTGATTTGTTCCTCGTATGTCGTACCTCTGTTGGAATTCCCACATTGAAAAATAAAAAAGAATACCACTAGCATATATAGAAAGATATATGAAGCCCTACTTATAAGCTTAAGCTTTTGGGTTAGAATAGTAGATCCTGACTTTATATACAAGTGGTTAATTTTACCCGAGACTCCATCCGTTGTTCTCAACCCATCAAAGTTTTAACATGGTATCGGAGCAAGTCCAGTCCGGGTTTGATTGTTCCTTGTTGTTTGGATGTGGGTTTAGCAAAATGAGTTATTCGTCTGTTGTTTAGGTTGAGTTGGCTATGAGAGAATGAGAAGGCACCACCTGTTGTGTGGGCTAGCTAAAAGAGATTGAGATGTTAGAACCATTTGTCCAAGTGATAACTAGACCAGACTAGTTAACACTTGAGGGGAGTGTTGGAGTTCACACATCAAAAAATAAAGAAGAATTGTAACACCCTAATCCGTCCAAGTCTGCAGCCCCTTTCGGACTAAAGAATATAAAAATTTAAATATTTCAAACACTTTTATTTATCATAATAATATTTTTTGCATAACGTAATAGTACGGAGTTTTCGATATTGCGGAAGTTTAACAAATCATAATCACAAACATAATTTATTTATGTATTTCAATTCAAAACCATCACATCCATTCCGAAAATCGCGCCTCCGTCTGCCTCCAGGATCACGTCACATCACTCTTTCATTAACATGCGTGTAGCAAATAAAACACACTACACGCTCAGCGGTAAGGCTGAGTAAGCATATATAATGCGTCGAACATCCATATAAATTGAATCTCCATTCATAATCAAATCAATTGATATCATGCACATAATATTCAGTTCAGATATTCAATATTCAATATTCAATATTCAATATTCAATATTTAATATTCAACATTCAGCATTCATATTCAACATTCAACAATATCCTTAAACTATTCATAGTCTAAAGCCAATCTCTTTAATGTTTACCAACTCTTAAACAAATTCTAGTTTAAGGTAATTACACTATATTCTAGTTTAAGGTACTCCGAAATAATCCTTGAGCTAGGCCTAGTTTAAGATAAACGAGGTTTTCAATTTCTTAAACTTACCTTTGCTTAAGGCCAACGATAAACCGACAGCGTAGTGTTCACTGTTGGGTTGGGTGGTACCCCTAAACGAGTAGGTACTCAAGTTTGGTTCATGGATCCCATACGTACGTTTTAGCCCAGACCACCGAATATTTATAATTATACCTGCAAGGCCTATTTCTAAGCTATCTTAGAGGTCTTCTAGATAGTCTTAGAAACCAACGTCAGCCTAGGTATATCTTAGAGTTCTTCCAAATCCTTACAATCCAAATCATTTCATAATCATCGATATATTCATTTCAAATTATAGTTTAAATCATTCACAATAATCATTTTATCAGTAGATTCATGATCAATACATCATAGTCATCCATAACAATAATTATCATAATATTCAATAACAATTAGCGGCCTAGCATCGAGTATTAAAACCCTAGCTTACCGTCATGCATCAAGTACGGTCCTCTTAGTTGTCAAAACATCATTTTTATTTCAAGAGATCATCTTTATATTAATCATAATTGATTGGTATCAAAAATAGGATTCAATAGTTTAAAAAATGGGTTTCCGGGAAAAATATCAATTTCTGGACGGTACCTCGGTACCGTGTCACGATACCCTACCTTGGTACCGTGTCACGATACCTTGGTATCGACCGCCACCAGCCACTGTGAGAGAAGCACGACAAAATAGTAGAGAGTGTACCCTTTGGACGGTATAGCCTACCGTGTTGGCGGTAGTTTGTTACCGTCTAGGGGGTAGGGTGATACCGTACTGTGCGTGATTTTGAATAGTATCATCTTCAACCTCGGACCAAGTTTCGGAAATTCCATTTTTAGTCACCAAACTTCAATTAAACTATATAGAAATGTTCTCCAATATTCATTGATCATTTTGGTATCATTAGTTCATAGTTTTAACATCAAATTCAAGGTTTATGATTCTTGGTTCTTCAAGCATATCAAACACAAAACTCAACCAAAAGATCGTTTATGACGTAAAAATGATCTATACGAACATTCTAGTCATTAGATATATCTACGGGCTTACCTCGGAGCTAAACGATGATTCCAATGATTTAGCGGCAAAACTTTCAGCGAACACCACGGCTTGCTCAGGTGACTTCGACGGCAACCAACAACAGCAGACTGCTCTACTTACTTTTATGATTCTTATGGACTAATTTTCAGAAAGAATGGTGTAGAAATGGAGGAAATGAATTATCCTTATATAGAAAGAAAAAGAAAGAAGCTGTCAAGGATTTCAAGATCGCGAATAGCTCAATGCGCTAAGCTGCGATTTGGTTCGATTATACACATTGTTCCTTGATTGGGACTAATTTGGTCCAGTCGGGGTACACTTTTTTGTCCAACTTTCTCCAAATTGAATTATGGTTGCATCGTTGCGATTAGACAATCGAATTTTATTCAAGAATATAATTTTTATATTTATTTATAATACTTTTTCCGACATCATATTTTTGGGTGTTTGACTTTGATAGAGTCAAAATTTGTTTAATTGACCTTTATCAAAAAAAGGTTCTCACATTTTTCTCATGGTTTTTTTCAAGAATTCGTTTCAAAGTTCACTTAATAAATAAATTCTCTATTTATTCTTAATTTGAGTCTGCACTTAGGTTCCCAATAATGATCACACAATAAGTCAACATGTTGGATTTATCCCTATGAGATTTATCCTAATTATGTTTACTGGATATCAATACATATTTTATTTCGGCCCAAAGCCCAACAATAATTTATTTTAATCAAAACAAATTTGATTAATTTGAATAATTATCCATTAATAATTCGATCTAGGGTATGTTTTGGGGCGTGTTAAAGGAAAGAGAATATTTGGTAGAATATTTGGAGATATTTGTGTATATATTGTTTTGGTAGTTTTCCTTGTATAGGGATTCTTTCCTTTTCCTTTTCCTTTACTTATTAGGAGTCTCAACTTGTGAGATCCTATATATATGTCCTCATTGTAAATTGTAAAGACAAGAGAGAAATACAGAGAATTTCCTCCCAAATAATTTTTTTCATGGTATCAGAGCCAAAACCCTAGAGATTTTCAGCGACTACTGTTCACGATCGCCCGACATGGCGTCCATCGATCGTTGCTCAGTTTCAGTCGTTTGTTGTTGTTGCCGGAAAACGGAACAGTCGACCGTTGCTCTTGAACGGTCGAGCACGTCGACCGTCTCGTCGGAAGATTGTGTGATAGATGCTGCTGTTGATTCTTCCGCCACCGCCGTACGCCACTCTGCTACCGCCATGGCCGATGAACAACCAAGGAAGATGTTTTTCTCCCTATCATCGTGTGTTTCTAGTATGAAGCTTTCAGGCATTCCTGTGTCACCGCGTTGGATTATAGATACTGGGGCATCAAATCATATGACTGGTGATATTTCGTTATTGCATGACGTCGTGGGAATATTACCATGTGAGATTGGTTTGCCCAATGGGAAAAGAATTATTTCTGTACAATCTGGGAAGATTAAATTAACAGAAACATTACTTTTGCACGATGTCCTATATGTTCCCACTTTGAGTTGCCATTTAATCTATGTGTCACAATTGACAAGGGATTCGAACTGTGAGGCACGTTTTGCCAACGATAAGTGTATACTACAGGATCTGTGTTTAAAGACAGAAATTGGTATGGGTGAGCAGGAAGAAGGACTTTATTACTTCAAGGAGCCAGAAAAGAAGATGGTGTGCAGTGCGAAGAAGAGAGTAAGTTTGATCTTTGGCACAAACGACTTGGACATCCTTCCTCTCATGTTTTGTCTCTTAATCCTGGAGTTGGAACAAGTAAGAGTAGTCACAGTTGTTGTGGCATTTGTTCGCGTGCTAAACAGACTCGTGGGAGTTTTCCTATAAGTTTTTATCAATCTGTTGATAAATTTGATATGATACACTGTGATTTATGGGGACCATATAGGACTCCAAGTTTTGATGGCTCTACAATGTTTTTGACCATTGTGGATCATTTTTCAAGAGGTGTTTGGGTACATTTGCTTGATTTCAAACGTAAGGTTGGCACTGTTTTTAAACAATTCTGTGCTATGGTAGAACGACAATTTGGGAAGAAAATAAAGTGTGTTCGCAGTGATAATGGCACAGAATTTGAATGTCTGAACGAATATTTCCGGGAGCAAGGAATTATTCATGAAACATCTTGTGTGTCTACTCCACAACAGAATGGGAGAGTAGAACGCAAGCACCGACACATTTTGAATGTATGTCGGGCTTTGAGGTTTCAGGCTGGTCTTCCGATTGACTTCTGGGGAGAGTGTATACAGACCTCCGCACATCTGATCAATCGCACACCTTCATCTTTGCTAGGGGGGGTCACACCATACGAGAAGATCTATGAAAAGCCACCCTCTTTGGCTCATATTCGTGTTTTTGGATGCAGATGCTATGCTCATAACTTAAAGAGGAATGGAGATAAATTCGCACCAAGAAGCAATCCTGGAATATTTGTTGGATATCCGCAAGGGAAGAAGGGATGACGTATTTACTACCCGGACACTGGGAAATTAAGGTGTCCCGGAATGTTGTGTTCTGTGAAGATATTTTCCCTTTCTTGACTCCTACAGGTGCATCTATTGATACAGGAAGTACAAATGAGGTTAGCTCTTATGATGAAGATGAAGAAATGCGGACGGAAGAGCAGATGGACCGTTCCAGGAGGGACGGTGGACCAGAGGAAAGCGATGGAGCAGACAGGTCACAGACGGTCGACCTGATGGACCGTTCGGATGTCCACGGTCGACCGTCCGAGAGGCAGAATGACGGGTTCCTGAGAGGTGACCACACAGTCGACCTGGTGGACCGTTCTGATATCCACGGTCGACCGTCCGTGAGGCAGAATGACGTTTCTTTGGGAGATGATCAAACGGTCGACCGTGAAGTGGAAGACGGTCGACCGTCTCCGAGGCAGAAAGTTAGCGATCCGGAACAGCCTCAGACGGTCGACCCCGTGGATCGTTCCACGGACGGCGGTCGACCGTCCTCTTCCCAGCAGGCGGTGGAGAACTTGGGACGTGGTCAACGTGAGAAACGTCCAAATGTACGCCTTGCCGATTATGTTACCCATGTAGCTGGTTCACATGTTGGTGAAAAATGCAAATATCCTCTTGCCTCGTATGTCACACACGAGAAGTTCTCTGACAGACACAAGTGTTTTCTCAGCGCACTTGATGCTGGACTGGAGCCCACAAGTTTCAAGAAGGCATTCCAGGATGAACGATGGAGGAAGGCTATGAGAGAGGAGATTGATGCATTGGAGGCTAATGGGACGTGGTCTCTTGTCTCTCCTCCACGCCATAAAAAGCCTCTTGGTTGCAAATGGGTATATAAGATCAAGCGCAAGTCCGATGGAAGTGTGGAGAGATATAAGGCCAGACTTGTTATACTTGGCAATCATCAGGTTGAAGGACTTGACTACAAAGAAACATTTGCTCCTGTAGTCAAGTTGACCACTGTGAGAATGCTTTTAGCAATTGCAACAGTTAAAGGGTGGGAATTGCATCAGATGTATGTTCACAATGCATTTCTACACGGAGATCTTCAGGATGAGGTGTATATGAGATTGCCACCTGGTTTCTCGAATTCGTCTAATGTGGTGTGCAAACTCAAGAAATCTCTGTATGGCTTAAAGCAAGCTCCAAGGTGTTGGTTTGCCAAGTTGTCTGGAGCCTTAAAACGCTATGGGTTTGTTCA